GGTGTTTAGATTTGCAATATATATATATATTGTTTTCAAACTTCAGAAACACAATAAAAATGCAATGCAGCTGCAGCAATTCATAAGGGTAAAAGATTGGGGTAATAAGTATCCCTGTCCTTTTCAGAGTTTGAGGAGCAAAAAAGGTCCTTGAAAAGTTTTAAGGAGCATATAGCTATGTCTGGCTTTCTAGTAAAAACTTGAGCACCTTATTAATGAAACATCACACACACACACACACACGCACACATACGGAGTCCCCTGCCTTAAAGGGACCGTCAGCCCCCAGTGCCAGCCCGGAGTGCGGGGGGTGGGATTTGGGGGTGCGGGGTGGGGGGTTGTGAGCACCCCCCGGCTCTGCTTGCACGTGTGTGTGCACATCTGTGCGCACACGCCTCTCTGCACACGTGTGTGCGCAGGAGTGTCTGCACATACACTGTCGTGTGTGTAGGCCGGAGCTTACCCGCACGCACAGGCTGTACGCGGGGCGTCCGCGTGTGTGCGGCCCCACACGTCTCTGTGTGCGTGTGGACACACGTGTCTGGGCACACACGTCGGCACGCACAGCTCACGCACCTCGGGGGGCCGCACGCGTCACCCGACACATCGGCATGGATCAGCACACGCAACAGCACACGCCAACACGTGTTGCACGCACAAATATCTGTACACACACACGCACATCGGTGGTGCACATGTGCATCAGCACACACACAGACATCAAACACAGCTGTACACACAAACACATCTGTACACACAAACACAGCTGTACACACAAACACAGCTGCACACACAAACACAGCTGCACACTCACGTCTGCCCATGAATCTACACACACAGGTCGGCAGCACACGCCTAAACATTGAGGACAGAAGTCTGCCCGTGGAGCTGATGCATGATGATGCACATGCACATCAACACGTATATGTATGCATACACTGAGATGCATCAGGATGTGTATGTGTGCACACACAGACACACATCGGCACATATATGTGTGCACACATACCAGCACGTGTGTGTGTGTGCACATTGAGACACGTCAGGACTTGTACATGTGCACACAGGCACACATCAACATGTATGTGTGTGCACAGACACACATCAACATAAATATGTGTACACACAAGCACACATCAGCACATATATGTGTGTGCACATTGAGAAGCATCAGGACATGTATGTGTGCACACACAGACACACATCAGCACATATATGTGGGTACACACAGGCACACATCAGCATATGTGTGCTCAGACATCAGCATATATGTGTGTGTACAGACACACATTAGCATGTATATGTGCACACACAGGCACACATCAGCACATATATGTGCATGCATACAAACTTCAACACGTATGTGTGTGCACATTGAGACACATTAGGACATGTCCATGTGCACACACAGACACACATCAGCACATACATGTGTGCACACAGACACACATCAGCAGGTACATATGTGCACAGACACACATCAGCACATATATGTGTGCACACAGAAACACATCAGGATGTATATGTGTGCCCAGACACACCTTAGCACATATGTATGTGCACACATAGACATACCAGCACATGTATGTGCACACAGACACACATCAGGATGTATATGTGTGCACAGACACACCTTAGCACATATATATGTGCACACACAGACACACCAGCACATGTATGTGCACAGACATGCATCAGCACATATGTGTGCACAGACACACATCAACATGTGTGCCACACAGACACATCCCAGCACGTGCATGCTTGCGCACACCCCAGCACCTGTATGTGTGCGCGCACAGACACGCCTCATCACGTATGTGCGCACGCCGCCACGCGTGTGCACAGGCCGGTTGTGCCCGCTCGGCCCTGGGTGTGCGCAGACACGCGTGGGTGCCAGGGCGATACCCCGGCACCCCGCTCCCCGCCATCGCTCCCTCCGCCCCGGCCCCTTCGGAGGCACAGACGTGACGTCGGATCGCAGAAAATTATTAGTTTTCTTGACTGGCCCCGAGGGTCAGGAAACATGAAATTACCATCTTCGCGGCCAATTTCGAAGACACTAGACACTTCTGTGTCGGCGTCGGAGGGTTGGTTTTTTTTTTTGATTTTTTTTTTTAAGCAGTTCCCATGGAAAAGGAAACTCCCCATCTCTTCTGATCACATACGACAGGTCCTGTGCATGTCTCCGGTAGCTTAAAACAACACACTGATATTTATTTTCCTTAATTAAGATTGCATAAGATAGCCCTGGGTCCTGGAGACTTTTCTACAGACTGTAATGACGCCATGTAAATTGTTTTTTATGACCCAATATACTACATATTGTCACATTCAAGCCCTTGAATAGGAAGCTAAAAATCTCGGTCCCTATTTTTCTTGTTAATTAGGGTATTATTACTAGGGATATAATCTCATTACTTTTTGGGGAGGAGAAGAACTAGTTGGAGCCACTTTGAAAAGTACTGAATATATTTAAATGAAGCAAAATCCGTCTTTCTGCTAATTGCTGATTTTGCATGACATAGAATTATTGTGCTGATTTAGGGGGCACGGTTTTCGCTGGGCTAAAGGAGATGGGAGAGGGAAAAGGATGCCGTTTGCTTTTTTCCTGCTCAGCTCTCCCATCCAAATGAATGAGAGGGCTACCCCATAGGAAACTCCATCTGCAGATTTCCATTCTTTTAAACATCACAAAATAAAATAAGCTGCAGCCACTTTGAGTAATAATCATTTGAATGAAATATTTGCTACTTTCAGATTATATATATATATTTTTTTTTTTTTTCTCTCTTTCAGATGATCCTCTTGTTTTGCATGTGAAAAAAATCGTCTGAGATTTACAGCCCTCCCAAATGGAGATAAAGCCTTGGCAATGAGTTGGAAACCTGTTGTAATCTGTGATCCAGGAAACAAAGAGCCTCATTAATGCAGAGACTTTGGTGAGCCTTTGATGTTAGCTAGCATAGCATTCACTCTCAGTTCCATTTGCATTTAAACATTCATAAAAACATCATCTCTGCTTCCTTTGCCTTAAGCAATTTAGGAGTAAAGTATAGCTTCTATTTAAAGAAACCCACTGTGGTGAGGCTTAGAATACAAATATCACATAATCTTCAAGCAGAGCAAATATTTTATCCTACATTTCTGGTGGGCACATTTAATAATATTATATTTAAGACCCAAAATAAAAGATCCATCTTATTTTCATTAACCTTACACCACATCTTTGACTGAAAAGAGAAAAGGGGCCCTGTTAATTCTATATATCCTACATACCAATTTGTGGAAGTAAGAGAATCCAGAGGATTTTACATTATTCACAAGAGCTGAGTTTTTGAAAACTGGATGCCTAGAGCAAGGTGCCTAGATCCGTATTTAGGCCCACAACACTGAAAATTTTTGAACAAGGTTTGGTTGTTTTTTTTTTTTTTTGTATATATGCAGTTTTATGAACTGCAGCATCTTCATCCTAGTTTTAGCATGGAGTAAAAAAAGTTTTGGTTTTTAGATATTTAAAAAAAAAATTTAACACACAGAAGTATAAAAATATAATACTAAAAAAAATAATCAGAAGAAGCCTAACGTGGACATTTTCTTCCAAGAGGCACTGTTGCTCCCAGACGGCATCCTGAGGGAATGGCAGCATGTGGGGAATTTGGAGAATCACTTAGAAAACAAAGGCCTGTCTATCTTATTATTTTCAAAAGTATTATTCACCAACACACCTATTAGAAGTGGCACAGTGCTACAAATATTGGAGTTGGCTTGACTTGCTGTTTGGAAATATTCAACTCAGGTTGTCCACGTTCACTGTACCATTAAAAATAACCGAGCGAGTTGAAATTGATCCTGTGCCACATCGAGAGCTCTTTATGTTTTCACTCTTAGGAGCAAATATAAGGAAATCTTTATATTTGATGCTGTGAGTCAGTTCAGCCAGACTGATGTTATAAGCATTATAAGCAAGTTTCCTATATGATAAATACCCAAAATTAAAAACTGAAATGGAAAACACTTAAAAACAACTTTACCTCGGATAAAATATTTCTGGAGCTGGATCAAAGTAAAACAAAAAGCCTGGCTTACTTGTCAGATCATATCTGCACTGAACTTCAAGGTTTGATTTGTATTATTTACATGGAAAAGGTCCCAAGAAACCAATTTGGCACTAAGTATCTTCATTACGTTTTTTCGCTTGTATGGGTGATTAAATCAATCTAGGGTTCCTATTTTAATTTTTTTTTGAAAGGTGCAGCCATCTGTGAATTGAGGAACTTTTCTGATGTCATCTTTGTGCTTCAGACATACTTTTTTCCCCCCTCTCTTTTTTTTTTTTTTTCCAAATAAGATGTTTTCTAAAGGAGCATGTTCTCTCAGCCTTTCTAACTGTCCTGCAGTAACTGTTTAGAATTAAAGGTGTATAATAACTTTTTAGAGCATTTTAACTGTGACACCTGCAGATAACAATAAACCAGATTAAATTATAACCAAGTCTGTCTGTCAGTCTGTCTGTTCCTCACCCTGCATTTATCAACATGTTCTCTGAACGCTGTGTGTGAAACCCAGCACATGCATTTTTGCACCGTGCTACGCACAGCAGCATTATGTGGCTTCACCATACACATTATATTAAGTGAAGCCTCTCCTTTAAAGTTGATGTAAATGTCGCTACCTATTTCTCTTAGGCTAGGGTTTCTCTTTCTGCTCTTAAAAAGGGGCTTCAGAGTGAAGCACTTGGATTTATTTTATTTATTTGTTTCTCTCCGTTTTTTGTTCATTGACTAGAATCAGCTTGGAGTAGCTCCCATTTTACTCTCTCTGGACATATTTCATCCTCTCATACAAGTTCATTTAATGTGGGTAAGGGACACATCGATCCCTGGCAGGTTGAACATCCTACATCTGCCTTCCTATTTCACTGTCTTTGCAGCAA